ATATGTGTTTCAAAATGTCTTTTAAATTACTAACAACAAATATGAAAGATTAAGTGCAACGTTGTAACAAATTTCATTTCCGTCCAAGTTAAGAATGATATGACTCATCGAAAACTGCGCGGACGAACATAAACAGTGGCGTAATCGTCCGTTATCCGACTCCAGACCAATTTTGAATTTGTAAACTGTCATTGCAACGGACAGTTGACATTGTGATCTGGAAGAAACAATTTGTATCACTCTTGCTACGGATATAATTTGTAATCTAGAATTTTTTGCATACCTTTTTAATACGTATTTAATTGCGGTTCGCGAAAAATTTCAAATTTTGAAAAATGGCTCGGACTATCAAGGAGCTTGGCCACCCTGGTGTTATACATTTATAATAGATACATTTTGAGCCACAACAAGGCGTGGCGGGGTCTGCTAGTATATTTATAAAATACTTTATGTGAAGAAATTTAAAAATATAAAAATTTAATGAATTGGAATGAACAATTTATATTAAGAACTTTATTTTTTAATTATCAATAATTTTTTCATTATTATTATCATTAATCAACGTCATAATATTAACTTTTATATTAATTTTAATTTTCACAAAAGGACGCAAAAATTTATAACAGATCGACTAGCTAGTACACGTATAAACAGAAACGTCGTACAAAACAAAACAAGAGAGAAGAGAGAGAGACCACCACACGGCCTTTCTCCCACGATAAAAAATGTGTAGAGCGTGAGTCTACTAGCGTTATTATTCTATCACGTCACACGAGATGACATTGGTACAACGAGCGTTCTTAACAGAAACCGTGAAATTGAAGCTAAATTCAAAACACCACTCAATGAGATCAAAAAATAAAATTAAGAATATTACCTAAGACGAGATCTATTATCCACTACCCCTGAATAAGAAATCGTAAGAAATCTTTGACACCCATCCACCCCAAAATACCATACGAAATTTATGGACGGCCCCATAGTTTATGCATAATTTTAAAAATTGCGCCTCTAGTGCCCGTTTTTGGTATATCGTTACGCGGACAGATGGATACCTATTCAATGGGTTATATATATAGATGCCACATCTTGTATACGATTTTAGGTCAGATCCAAATCAGACACGTCCACCAGTGGTCAAGTGGATAAAAACCCCGAACACTTGTAGTGGATTCGCGCCTCGCCAAATGACTGATCACGTGGAAATTTCTTGATTTTCTTCAGGTTAGTAACGACCAATTTCCCATAAAGGACCTTGTGAGAGACACTTTCTTATTGGCGGATTGCCAACTTGTTACGTTCCAATACAACAGTAAAACCACACTAAAGAGAACATAAAAATTTATTCGTATTTATATAGATTTTTGCTTCGTTATACATTGGTTATACGTACTTAAATGCTTTTGTATGCCCCAGGAAAAAACATTCACGATACAGAAAAACAAAACATTTATACAGTATTACTCTTATAAGGAAGGTCCGGAAACATTTCGTAATGCATATTACAGTTGCTCCACTCTCACTGACAATTTTAGGAATTACAACGATTGGAAATCTCCCTTAGGGCAATCTATTTCAGAATTATTCTATACTATCATCACTAAAATAATCTAAATAATGAGAAAAACACCGAAACTAACTGACAAATAAGCCTTAGATATCTTAAATATACAGTACAGTAGTTATTTATCTGAAATTTGTTTAATTTCATAGTAATATATAAAATATATTTTTAAATGTAAGTCAAAGCAATGAAATGTCATATTTCTTCCTTATAAAACAATATTGATTTAAAAGATTAAATCAATGCAAAGTAAAATTTTTCGAAGAACAATTAGCAATAAAGAAATTATGGAGCGTTTCATTGATAAAAAAAAGTTTACGTTTAATAATATGAAGAAACTTAGTTAAACCCGAAATACACTAATTTTAAGTGCAATTGTCAAGCGACTGACTAGTAATTTCAGCGTAATGGAGACCATTTCAGGAAATCACAATGAGAGGAAGAAGATTTGGATAAAGGTATCCGAGACATATTATAGTTTTTTTTCGATGGCTGTCTTGCTTTAATAACGAAAGCAGTAAGGAATTTATAATCAAACCACATTCTCTACAATTTTTCAACCAATAGGACAAAAGTCTGAAAGCAAACCGAATGACAAAAGTTGAATGAAAATTTATTTTATAGGCGAATACCCAAGTTTTGTGTTTTGAATTTGTTCAAAAGAAAGTCACTCGAACTGTAAATTCCCGTGTAATACTACTACTCCTAATCCGAAACTAATGGCTAGAACTAGAAACCTCATATCAGAAATGATTGGTTTTACGGGATTGGTGATATTCTAACATTCTGTCGAAGTACACAATGCTGAATGTGCTTTGAAAAAAAGCACTATGACTACTCGTAGGTATTCTGAGTTCTACGGAAGCTTCCTGGAATGTTCTTCGGCGTTCTTAAGCTTCAACTTCTTTTCGTGAACGTTAATAATTATTCTCATAGAGCACAGCTTATGCGGGATACTTAAAACCTAAAATATTAAAAAATAATTAGATTTGCAAATATTTGAAGTGGAATGCAACAGACCATATACAGACGTGTTAGAAAGATGCATCGAACTATGCTTTCCTTTCACAATATTCCACGAATTAAGTTTTGTCTTCGTTAAGGAATGGAAGTTTATATCTGGAAAGCTGATTTATAATTTTAATTTATAGCTAAGATAATTAAAAGGCTATTAAAAGTGACTGTATTCTATCCTAACTCGTTGCACTGATGGCATTTGAACTGTTCTTGGAGCCTCAGTTCTCATAATTATGACTCATCAAAGCATGATTATGTAATAATTTCATACGAGTATTACGATTACGTGACACGCCGTGCAAATGTCGATAAATAATGTAAGCTCTTTATTTCTAAGCGAAAGATTGCAGAAAATAAGAACAACTTATCGAGAAACAGCGTAATATTTTTAATGCGAAGAACAAGTTTCTTAAATGAGAAAAAACTTTCAAAACTAGAGACAGAGTAGAATTATTGAGAGAAAACACACACACACACACATAAAATTTCTGAAATTTATCTGGTAAGTTTCTATATTAGAGAGATTAATTCAATTAAATTTTCGTGATTAAAGGACGAGGAGTATGGGGGTCTGGGTATTGTAAATGATAATGATAATGAAAAATTGTAAATGATAATGAGGATTTTATTCGTCATTATCATTTACAATTTTTTATAACAAAACTCATCTTTATCCTGAAGATTAAGTTTTTTTGCCAGTTTATAATAATTAACAATATA